ATGTAACTGACCTTCTCATGTTACAGGATTTCCACTATAATCTCTTCTGTAGCCATGCAGGACACGCAACCATTCAGAGCAGATTTGGAGGCATATGGGAGTTGCCAGGGAAGGGGAAATTTGTTCTACCAGCAGTTTCAAATCCACTAATGTTGCAGAATGGAAACTGCTGGTAAAACATACTTCCAATCCAATGTGAAGCACTGAGGCCCTAGCAGCAATGCTTTTTGGAAGTTGTATATCTGCCTGTCTCTCTTACAGTGCCTAGTTTAGAAGATTATGAGGGCCAGGGACACAGGAATCATATTAAGGGGCTACATACAATTTGCAGAACTCATCAGAAGGACACAAGTTTCCTTTTGACTTCTGGATTATTTGGGATAAAAGCTGACTGCCAGTAATTCGGTACTGGCTGCCAACATTTCCCAACATGCTGTTCAGGAGGCAGAACACTTGGTATCTTTCAAATGCTTCCTCAAAAAGCACCATTCACTCAGATGTTCTCTAATCTGTAATAAAACCATATTGTCTATTTTACTGCTTCTGTGGTGCTCTGCATTATTTCATTATAATTTAATTGTGTCATATGGTACTGCTTTAAAATTTATTTTAAATGTGATTCAATTATGATTTTTAGTTTTATATGGAAACTGCTAAAGGATTTTAAAATAGTTAGCAGTATATAAATACTACAAATAAATAAATAAACATGGCACTCCCCAGAAGTTTTTATTTTTCAATTGTAACTCCTAGCATTCCTGACCATTCATCATGCTAGCTAGGAGCAATAGGAGCTGAAGTCCGAAATAGCTGAAGGGCACCAGGTTGAGAAAGGCTGATTGAGTCTTTCTCAATCAAGCAGGTTTATCTTTTTAAACTGAAATCATTGAGTGCCTTCCAGAATCTTCACATAGTAAGGAATACATGTGATTTCTTTATGGCAAGCTTTATAGTATCTCTTCATGAACACAGATGATTCCTAGGCATTAGTAAAATAGTCAACAGCATGGAAGAACTGACTGGCAGAAACTATCTTGAGACACCTTATAGGCTAAGGCTTTCCCCTCTCAAAAGAAAAGAGACTCCAGGCTGGAAAAATCTTGTCCTTGTCGTAGTGCTATCAACAGCCATTCTCATGTCAGAACAAGATGCCCAGCCTCTTACTTGCACCTAATAGCGAAGTCATCAGCGGGAGTCATCATTTTGAATATATGAACCATGGAAGGGGTGCACCATAGCTTACCATTAAAGTTTACCAGCAAAGGTGGGTTGCTGCGGTGCTTGAAAAGTTAACCCTAAAACAGCCCATTTGTTCTGGATAGCTTGTCAGCCACTCCAAAAATCCACCCTCAATGATTTTGCATGTAGTAACAAGCTACAGTATATCCCCACTGTTACTTGAATATTCAAAATTGTGGTGGCTGCTGTAATGAAAAACCCCACAGGGAACTACACAGCTCATTATATGTGAATCAGGCCTGCTTTTACACTTGGCTTACTCAAGCAGTATTTTAATATAATAGAATGCGAACCCAAAAATCTTGATTTACAGTCAGAGGTAATTTAAAGAGATTAGAATTAAGGTCTCAACTAAAGCTTCATCTTTTGGAAATGTCTAGTGATTCTTATGGCAATGTTGCATCTTATAATCTGACTGAAGCCCTAAGATGAATCAATCACAAGAGCTTGTGGAGCTTTGAATCTGATGTTCTTGCAACAGTTGCATGGGCATCACAGATGGATCGACTCTCTTCTTTCTCCCTGCACTTCCTTGTATTTCTTCCAAACTGTTCCTGATGGTTGGGGGTCCTCTAAAGCAGGTGGGTGGGGGAGGAAAGGAAGGGAATATTCTGTTGCCCAAGCAGATATCTACTCACTTAACACTGGATTTAGCTCTAAGTATATACATTAAATGTTAAAACAAAAGCATCAAATACACAGTTTTATTACATGGAGGGAAGGACACAAAAAGCCTGCCCCTGCGTTCTTATAGTTCAGAGTCCATATGCATAGGCAAAGGCTGCCTATGCATAGCATTTCTGCTATGATCCTATCTTATTATCATTGGACACTAGTCAACAGCTGAGCTATTAAAGATGATCAACACTGATTCAAAGGGGTTTTTTTCCAAGAGAGTACCTGGCCAAAGAAACCAAATGATCAGCTACTAGGCAGGATGGTGTTCACTTTAATAGTTGGCCAATTCACTCCTAAGGGAAAAAGAAAGAAAAACATCCCTCCTTTGCTGCTTTTGCAACTTTTAAGGAATAAAACAAGGACAACGGGAATCCTGTGGTCCTTTAACTCAACTTGGAATACACTGGGAGATTTCTCTGGAGAACCTAGAGCTCTCCAGAAATGTAAGTAGTGTCTTGCCAACACAGCACCTTCCCCACTGGAAGAGCAATACCTTAGTTGGTGGGGACTGCTCCCTAAGACAAATAAAACCTACATTAATAGTGCTAATGGAAAGAAAAAGAATGAGGGTAGGTAGATTTGGGATCTACTTGCACCAAAGTGAAAGGGAGATGCAAGTGCCTTGAAAAGAGGACTGTATTCAGTGTTATTTCTACTTAGAGTCGACCCTCTGAAATTAACAAGACTAATGAAGTCCCATTCATTCCAATGACTCTATTTGAAGTAGCACTAACATTGGATACAGTCCAGAGTTTGCAAGAACATGTGTGCTACTTTGGAGCAGTTTACTATGTTAAAGTTGATCTATTGGCCCAGAGAGCAAAATATTCACCTTCCTCTATAAGTTGACTGGAACCAGACTACACAGTAGTTATCAGAAAGCAGACGTTCCACAGCCTGCCAAATCTACTGAAACTAAAGTAGGAGAAAAATGAGAACAAAAGACTGCTATTCATTCTTTTTTAATAAGCCTAAGGAATGCAGAGGAACCCTGTGCTCTCAAAGCTTTATTTCTTCAAGTAAAGAAATGCTTTCTAAACACATATCAGAAATGAGAAGACAGGATGCATTCCAAACCCTGACCTCCAAGAGCTGTGGATTCACAGGCGTTATGCTGGATGAACTATACAAATGAAGAAAAGCATCAAGTATGGAACTTAAAATGTGTCTTAATTAAACTAACCTGCTGCTGGGCACCATCACTTGAGATGTTGGGCAGCTCTACAGTGGGTACAAAAATTAATTTCTGAAACACTCTCATGTGTAACATCCAATTCTGAACATGTCAGAAATGGGGAGAGACAGATTACATTTTGACTTACTGAAAGTAACCAGTAGTAGGTTTGTGAAATGAAATAGCTATACTTATGCAGGACATACATATACAGAATTGTATCCAATTGTATTGTTCTTCCAGCCACAAATAACTGCTGGTGGAATGGATTTCCCTTTTTTCCCAGCAGCTCAGTGCCCCCCAGCTGTTCTGGAAGATTGATAGATTCTTCAGAGCAGATCTGGGTCATCCACAGGAGGCTGCAGGAAGTAGAGGGCAGGCAATTCCCACTACATGAGCAGAAGTCCCCTTGTGTGATTGGACTTCTACCTCATGAATGCATAGTTTAGGGGGCTTTTAAAAAGTAGCGAACACATTTAACTATGGCTGTAAAGCATAGTTCAAGTATACCAATTATTGGATGCTGGGAAAAAGCCAACACCAGACAGCCATGTTTTTAAGTTTCACAGAGGCATCTGATTAGTGAGCATTAGAGGCAAGAGCTATGTACTAGGTATGTCAACTCCTATGCCCTTAGAACATCTCTGAGAAGTTAATCAGAAAGTTTCACAAATTGTCCAACGTTTTGCACACAAATTTTTCTTGGCAATAGAGGGACAAATGCAAGTTTCAGGCTGCTACTCTGGATAGGTAATTTAATTGCAAGAATGTTCTTTCTGTTATGATGCACTGATTATTTTTGTTTTCTTGTAAGGCATGGGACTTACCATTTATTTGTGAGAAGAAGAAAATAAAAAAGAGCATAGGCGAGTGTGGTGCAGCCAGAGAAGAGAGGAAGACTCTTTTAGACAGGGAACTTTTATCTGAAGTGCAGCGGGTGGGGGGCATGTTTTGCCATGGCAATTTTAGAATACTCCATATATTTGGATTGGGGTAAGAAGAGAAAGATAAGGGGAAAAAAGAAAGCAACTATGACAGAAAATATCAGTGATATTATATCAGAAATATCCTATACTTACAGAAGCAGAAGGTAAGGCTAGCAGTGAGATTTATGGAAATATGACCATGAGACATCTATCAATTCAATGAAGGGAAAGCAAAAATAGCCAGGCAGGCCTAAGAGTTTAAGGGCTATGGGTTGCACCAGATGGATTGTATTCAATATTAGTCTTCCCCAATATGATGCTCTCCAGATGTGCTGGACTCCCAGCATCCTAACTGGGGCACGGGGCCCTTGGTCTAGCTTGGGATAGGCTGGTTAATTTATTTCAGAGTCTGCTGTAAGTAGGACTAACGCAGGGCACAACCTTGTGTCCCCTGTGCTAGGACATCTTCCAAACTGTGTGGGTGAGAAAGTGACTAGCCCAAACACCTTATGTCAGCTTACTTGGCCAAATGTCCCTGTGCCAGTCATTCATGGCACACTGGCAAGGCTGAAAGAAAGGGGAAATCCAAAATTGCCATTTCTTCCAGGGCAGCCTGCTGACAATGCTCGCCACCACAGGTATCCTAGTGGAATATGATGATTTGCGGGGAAGAAGCTGTGGAAGAAGAAGGGGGAAAAGGAGGGTCTCCGCGACTGTGGGCATGAGTGGCACTTATCAGATCTGTGCTCTCCCATGCGGGTGGTTCAGAACCAGGGAGCCTTCTAAGAGATCATCCGCGGTGCGGGAGGAAATGCGGGAGCGGAGGGGAGGGGAGGGGGCGTATGCTTTACCGAAAGGGAGGCAGGGCCGGCGGCGAGGCGGGGCGGAGCTCTCCTTCCCACCCACCGACCTAACCCAAGCGAAGCAGAGGCGGGCTCTTCCCGCCTCGACGCGTGCAAGTGGGCGCCCCTTGCCCGCCTCACCTGAGCTGTCCCCCTCCTCGGACACGGAGGAGCTCTCCGACTCCTCCTCCTCGGAGCTGCTGCCCTCGTTCTCCCCGTAGTCCACCTCCATCTCGTCGTGGTTGTTCTCCTTCTTCTCCCGCGAATGGACCGGCATCGCGCCCGCGCTCCGCCGACGCCCGGCGTCGCTCCGCTAGGCACCTGGACAGCAACCTCACCGCCGGCCCGACCCGGCCCTCAGACGCGCCAGAGCTCCGCCTCAGCGAAACCCCGCCATCCGCCTCAGCCCGGCACAACCTAACACTCCTCTCTTTCGCTCATTGGTGGACGCCCCGCCGGCGTCGGATGGGGGGCTCCCGCAGCCGAAGCGACGTGTGGCGGAGCTTTCCGTGTCGTGGAGCATCTTGGGACATGTAGTCGCCCAGGAGAGCTGCTCACCCCCTTGAGGGGGCGGTAGAAGATTGATCGGCAGAGACAGGAACGGAAAGGGTACTGGCTTGTGTAATGATCAGCAAGCACGCGAACGTACCTTCCGAAGATTAACAACTCTTAGAGTAAAATCTCACATTCTGAGTGTATAATAAGATCAGTAATTTCCCAACACAATCCCAAACGCGTCTAACTGAGAAAATCCTCACTGAGTCTGGTAGGGTTTTCTTACAGGTAACTGGTTACAAAATGCAGCCTAAGAATTTCAGAAGCACGTTTTTATTGGATGCGGCAGATAAAGTGTTTATATAATATTTGGAGTGGCCTAACTTCAAATCCATACAGAACAGCTCCAGCGAAGGTTATTAAGAAGTTATGGGCACCCACAGAAATTTTTGCAAGGTGTGTGTGTGTGGGGGGGGGGAGAGGGAATGAAGGCTGCACAACAGTGTGGGATTGCAGTGTTTGTGTTGCTACAACACACCCTTCCATTTTCCTTATGTCTGCACATTGCTTAGCATCACATTCTGTGACATTTAGACAAATTCAAATACTATCAGAAAATTCTGGAAAGTTGACAGTACTAATGCAGATCAGTGTTATATTCAAGAAGCCACACAACTGTTGGAAGAATAGAAACAACACTAGCCTTAACCTTTATAAAGGTGCCTTTCCTACAACTGAAAAGCTTTTTTTTCACGTTACTGGTCCTCCTCTTCACTTTTCTCAGCTCTGTATTCTTTCTATAGTGAGACTAATCAGAAGAGTATTTTAGATGTGGCCAGACTTAGATTTGATATTTTACCTAAATGGCCTTCCACACTCCCGAGATCTCTCTCTTTGACAGAAAGTTTAGTTGCCATCAGTGTATATGGAAAGTTAGGAATGCAATATCTATCATTTTTACTGACTGGCATGAATATTACCATTATGTTACCCTTTATTCAGAGACCTCTGGTCAGTCACCATCTTTCCTTCTTAAGAATGCATCTAGATCTATGTAGGTTACTGAAACAGTCATAGGAAATAAGGGTTAAGGTTGTTTACTTTTGAATAATTCTAGTCCTTGGGAAGATGTTTTTTCCTTGAGGATGAGAAGATGCCTTCGTGATTACCAAGGAAGCAGTTCCATTAGCACCTGAAAGAGCCATGTTGCTGTCCTCTGCTTTGCAATGGCTATTCACAAATTTGGCAATCAAGTCATTGACCAGGGCCTGATCTACTATTAAATAGAGTGAGGCAGTGGCCTCAGGCAGCAGATTCTGGGTATCATGGCAAAATGTTATGCCAGTGGCATAATGTTAATTGTTTAGTTTGATGCTGTTATATTGCTACTGCCAGGGATTGAAAGAGATGCTACTGAGATTTTTCTCCCTCATGTGCTGGATTTGGGTATTATTACTTAAGTAGGTGGAAGGGCCACCATTTGCTGCTTTGTCTCAGGCAGCACCAGTTCTTGGGTCAGCCTTTCTGTTGATGCCATATCATTTATAAATTAAATAGCAGCAGTCCCAGTAGAGCACTGGAATCTAATTTCTCTCCATTGTGAAAACTATCTCATTTATGTCTTCTGCCTACATCCAGTAGGAAGGAAAATATTTCTTAACTTTTTAAAGCAACCCCTCAAAGGACACTTCCTGTTCCCCATGCATCATCCTGTAAGACAAAGGAAACAGCAGCAATAGCACGTTGTCAGAGGGAGAGACAGGATCTCATCCCAGAGTGCACAGCACAGAATAATGGGCTCAAATTACAGGAAGCCAGATTCTGACTAAACATTAGGAAAAACTTCCTGACTGTTAGAGCAGTAAGACAGGGGAACCAAGTACCTAGGGAGGTTGTGGGCTCTCCTATCCTGGAAGCGTTCAAGATGCAGCTGGATGGGCCTCTGTTAGGGGTGCTCTTGGAGTTCTGTGTTGAGCAGGTGTTGGACCCCATTGGCTTATGGGCCCATTGCAACTCTACTGTTCTATGATTCTATGATCTACCACACCTACTTGTCAGTGTACTAGAAAGCTTTACACTGTAGTTGTATGTATATTGTGTCTGAACCTTTTGCACAGAAGTTTGGGGTCCTGCCCCAGTGCAGCAATCTGAGATTGTTTTGCGTGCATGAGTGTGTTATACACTTCCTTGAGCCTTTTTCACATGTCATTTCTATGCCAATGTGTTATTTGAATATAATCTAATATCCTGCATCTTGTGGACCAATGACATCCAATGCTTTTCAAACTGGTTAACGTCTATAATGAATAATTCAATTGCATAGAAATAATGTATTTTGTCAATCATAAAAGAGCACAGGGACAGGTAAATTAATTGGACAGCTCCTGGTACATAAGGAACATACTGGAATTCATGTACAAATATACAGAAATCGCTTTACATAGAATCCCTGCAATCAACAAGTATAGATGTATTGATCCTTAGTGTTTGGGCATAAGAGTACAAGTACAAAACAAAGGTTTTACTCTGCAGTTCTATGCATCTTTCCTCCAAAGTAAGCCCTACTAAGTTCAATGATATATGTATAGAATTGTAGCCTAACAGTACAAGCCTATGCACATCTACTCAAATGTAGGACCCACTGAACTCAGTTGAACTTACTCCCAGAAAATGTACTTAAGCCTGATAGGATTAATGATGAAGGGGAAAAAATTGAACGATAAAAAGGAGAGCCAGTGTGGTGTAGTGGTTAAGAGCATGGGACTGGGACTCAGACAATCTGGGTTCTAGTGCCTGCTCAGCCATGGAACCAACTGGGTGACTTTGGGCCAGTCACAGACTCTCAGCCCAACCTACCTTACAGGGATGTTGCTGTGGGGATAAGATGGAGGAGGAGATGTAAGCTGCCTTGAGCCCTTTGTAGGAAAAAGGCAGGATATAAACCGAAAAATAAATAAATAATCAGAAAAAGGAAGAGGCTGCATGAGTGAAACTGGGTTTGATAACTGTGCACATAACAGACTATAAATAAAAGGCACACTTCTCAGTATTTTTGTCACTAAGAATGGGACCAGAAAGAAACAGAGGGACACGGACTTTTGTGAGGGATAAGGGTCCCTGCATCTGAATAGAAGAAGCAAAGACTGAATACAGCATCTGGGAAACTTCAGATGTGTTGGACTGCTATTCCCATTATGCTGTGACTGGGAAAAATGGGGAATGCAGTTCAACACATCTGGAGTGGACTAGGCCAGAGCAAATGGGAGATCAAAACATGTAAACAGGAGTACAAACTAGAAATGTACATAGTTCCCATTAATTTAAATTCTAGGTTATGTTAATCAGTAGCCATAAGAAATACTGTGGCACCTTAGAGACTAACTGACTCATTGTACTATTTGTTTTTGTAGGAGCTGAAGTTCAGTGAAGGGTAAGGCAAGATAAAAACTAATCTCTGTATAACACAGATGCCAGATTATTGAGAAATACATTTGTATGAAAACAAAATAATGTCTATGAAGTTCCTTCAATATAGTATTTCAATGAAGTTCCTTCAATATATAATTTGCACATTATTAATAAGCATTAAAGGGAATTGAAGTTTATATATATATATATATATATATATATTGCACTGTATCAGTCACCCGGCATCTTGAATATTACAAAGCTGTGAATTAAGTTCTACAGTTTCATCTACAATTCTGCTTCTCTCTTCTGTCCTGGATCTACTTGTAGAACTCTAGAGATTTTCTAGCAGATCAGCAGGAGTTTCTGACTCCCAATTGCTTAACAACAGAAAGTTAAATTATTATACCAAGAAGAAGGTTTAGTAGCCATGAGTGACTCTTGGTGTGGAAGGATTGTTAGCTCCCTTCAGTTCTGGTATTCGAAACAAATACATGAGCTCCTGTGCTGTAGAGATATGGTAGTTAGATGATTTCTGCCTCTGCTTTTAGTTAAACCACAGTAAATTTTATCAATGAGGATCTGCTGTGCTACAGTACAGGCAAGCAACTTGTGGTCTCCCAAATGTTTTGGCTTACAACACCCATCATCCATCACAATTGCTTATTCTGGCTAGTGTTGATGGGAGTTATGGATTGTGACATCTGGAGAGTCACAAGTTGTCCAGCTCTCTATCACAAGGATTTGGCACAATGTTCAGATCAATAACGCTTGTCTTGCCTCTCATTGAATGTGTTGGTGCACTTCTCTCTAGTGTGGCGGCCATAGTTATTACATAAAGATATAAATTATATTGTTTCCTTACATTTTTAGATTGTCTGCAGGACTCCTTGAGTGCAAGTGGATGTTTAAGTAAGTTACTAATTTGTACCTACATCTCAGAAACAGGTTTTCAGGCATCTAGAACAACATGTAAAAGAAGTAGATTCACACTGATTTCAGTTGCCTCATAGTGTAGCGGGTAGCGACAAGCCAACATGTGCAGTGCTGCAGGGAGCTATTAGAATAAGCTTTGAAAAGTTGAAAAAGATTGAAACTTACTTACATTTATTTATGGATTTTCTGAATTCTTATTTTAATTTATTTGTGTGTCCCTTTGCTCTCCTAGAGAGAGACTATTGTGTTTCAATTGAGTAAAGGGCAAAACTACTGGGTGGGAGTTTTGAAACTAAATTACCTGGGACAAATTTCCAGAAGACAGACTATTACTGTGAGAATGCTACCTGTATTGTCCCAGTGGTGTGAAAACATAGGGTCACCCTGTAATAGAATCATAAAATAATAGAGTTGGAAGGTGCCAGAGGGCCTTTAGGTCCAATCCCCTGCTCAGTGCTGGACTCCAATTTGACCTATGCCAGGAGAGAAACAGGGGGAGTGTCACCCTGTTGATACTCCTGGACCTCTCAGTGGCTTTCAGTACCATCAATCATGGTATCCTGTGGGGACAACTAAGTTGGTAGTT